GCTGACTGACTGACTGACATAAAAAAGGACATTACGTCTTTACCACCAAAAAACTGGACAAATAGAAAGCGTAGACCAATTACGTTGATAAATATGGATCAAAACTTCAAATACTGCGGATATGCTCTAAGGGGAAGTGTTAGCAGGATATAATGCTAACTTAATGCTAACTCAAAGGTAAAAAACTTAACTCTACTTTTCAATAAACGCGCTAAAGCAACTCAAAATGTTGATATACCATGCATCCAGCATAATAGCACTTTTATATACGACTCTAAAACTGTAACGGACCTTTTCAGTGGTATTTTTGCGAATGGTGTAGGAGGTGGCTTTGTTTCAAGAGTTATGTGGGCGACTAGCAACTCAATAAAATCGATCTCCTTAACATGCATGAAAATTAACAAGGTTATAAATACCCTTAAGCTTTCGAGAGGTCACGGAGTAGACGGGATTTCATCCTTTCTCTACAAATATGGTGGTCCAGATATTCCACTTCTTCTAAAGCTGTTTACTCTCTCTCTCTCTCTCTCTCTCTATGGAAATAGGTTCTTACCCTTACTGTTGGAAAACTGCGTACATCATACTACGTTTCAAATCTGGAGATAAGACTGACATGAACAATTGTCGGTCGATAAATATTACTCCAGTTATCTCTAGGATTATGGAAAAAATTATAAGTGATGAACTTCCTAACTATTTACTCAGTGGAAAATTTATCAAGGATACTCAACATGGATTTCTTAAAAATCAATCTTGTATGACATGTCATTTTGACTTCTTTAATTTAGTTTATTCTCTACGTAGCCAAGAATATCTAGTCTTAGTGCTATATCTGGACATTTCTAAAGCCTTCGACATGGTTAGCCACCAACTTCTTATAGGTAAACTCGCATCCTATGGCGTTCAAAATCCTTTGCTTGCTTGGTTTGATTCCTTTCTCAGCAATCGACATCAAATATTTAAAATTAACTCTTCATCGTCTAACGCTGTCCTTGTTAGAAGTGGTGTAATACAAGGTAATGTCTTAGGCCCTTTGCTCTTTTAAGTGTTTATCAATGATACTTGTGGAAGTTTTTGTGTCGGTAAGCCCCTTCTATATGCAGATGATCTTAAAGTAGTATATTCATTTTCTCCACATGAGCTGAAAAATATGCAAAACTGCATCAGCATGGAGCTTAACAAGGTAGCACAGTGGTGCTTAAAATGGCAACTAGAGCTTAATACGGCTAAATGTGGATGGATATGCTTCGGCGATACATCACTCAACCTAGACATTACCATAAATGGAGAAGTGTTATCTAGGTTACATACAGTAGTAGACCTAGGACTTACATACTCCCAAGACTTGTCGTTTACGGAACAGATATTGAAACAGACCTCTGAGTCTCAACGTCTTGTAGGTTACATAACTTGAAACCTTTATAACAATCAGTCACGTATTTTAATGTACAAAGTTTGTCTTCGACCACTTCTAGAATACTGCACGTTTATTCTTAGCAGTGCGCTCATAAAGGATAAATTAAGGCTGGAATCAGTACAGAGACGATTTACACTTCGTATTCTTGAAGCTGATTGCACCTTAACTTATAATTCTAGATGCAATAAACTTGGGCTAGACCCTTTATGGAAAAGGAGACTCAAACTGAATCTTATCTTTTTCTTCAAACTACTTAATAAACAATCCTTTACATCCAATCACGCGATTCAATATGCAGAAACCTCTCATTATGACATCCGCAATTCCTTGTCACTAGTGAAACAAACTTGTTCTAAACCATCTCTTTATATGAATTAATTTACCTGTAAATTTTCCAGACTCTGGAATAACCTACCACAATCTATCCGTACGATAAAATCACTCCCATTATTTGTTCGCTGCATCGATGCATACTGCTCCTCTGAAAATGCACTGAATGTTCTAGCACCTGAAAGTGTATCTCATTCCACAAGTGATATTATAGGAACTTTAAATGTTTAGCCATTTTTATAAGTGCATTCCCTAAGTAAAACCACCTACTTGCTATCACTTTATGTTAACACCGTCCCTAGCAAGTTTAACTAATTTGAATAACATCAACAGTATATCACTGTGTCACATGACACATACATTTTGGTAGACTTGATTGACATATTTTGGTAATTACTGCTTTGTTGTTCCGTGCTCTCTGTTTTCGTTTTAATTTCTCTAGTTGTAGATAATTATCATTAATTCGATATGGCACACAAAATGACCTTAATCACATAAAGCAACAGGCTGTCCATTTAAGAAAAATTGAAAGTTTCCGGCTGATGCATCGGATCGCTGTAATACATGTACTACTTAAACAATTACTGAACTAGTATACTTAAAACTTTCCTGTATCACATGTTTGTTCTGTACATCTAATGTTACTATTTATATCAAATTGATCATGCCTGTAAACTGGCATCAATTCTGTAATTATTATTTTCAGAATATATAAAATTATTATTATTGTAACTAATGCACGCTCTGGTTACACCTAAATCGGAATAGGCTTAGTGCTTCATTCTCAATCAATCAGCTTTAGTGGACGTACCGAGATCCTGGATAATATAAATTTTATATCAACTCTAATGTTTTTACTACTGTATCTCGGTTGTTCATGTTTACACATTCTCCCATTTAAATTTTCTCTCTAGCTTAGGGGAAGTTGAGTGAAGTATGATATTCGAGGAATACTTACTTACTTACTTACGCCTGTTACTCCTCGTGAATGAGCATAGGCCGCTCACCAGCATTCTCCATCCAACCCTGTCCTGGGCAATCCTTTCTAGCTCCGTCCAGTTGTAATTCATCGTTTTCATATCTGCTTCTATTATCCGACGCAATGTGTTCTTTGGCCTTCCTCTTTTTCGCTTCCCTTCAGGGTTCCAAGTTAGGGCTTGCCTCGTGATGCAGTTTGACGATTTGCGTAATGTATGTCCTATCCATTTCCATCGTCTTTTCCTAATTTCTTCTTCAGCTGGAAGTTGGTTTGTTCTCTCCCACAGAAGGCTATTGCTGATGGTATCCGGTCAGTGGATGTTGAGTATCTTGCGTAGGCAGCTATTTATAAATACTTGTACTTTCTTGATTGTGGTTGTTGTAGTTCTCCAAGTTTCAGCTCCGTACAGTAGAACTGCCTTGACGTTCGTATTGAAGATTCTCACTTTGATATTGGTTGAAAGTTGTTTTGAGTTCCATATGTTCTTCAATTGTAGGAATGCGACCCTTGCTTTGCCGATCCTCGCCTTTACGTCTGCATCTGAACCTCCTTGTTCATCGATGGTGCTTCCTAGGTATGTGAAGGACTCTACATCTTCCAGAGTTTCGCCATCAACAGTGATTGGATTGCTGTTTTCCGCTTTGAATTTGAGGACCTTGGTTTTCCCTTTGTGTATGCTGAGGCCTACTGATGCAGAGACTGCTGCTACACTGGCTGTCTTCATCTGCATCTGTTCGTGTGTACGTGATAGGAGGGCTAGGTCGTCTGCGAAGTCCAAATCGTCTAATTGATTCTGAGTTGTCCATTGTATTCCGTGTTTTCCTTCAGATGTCGAGGTCTTCATAATCCAGTCGACCACCAGAAGAAAGAGGAAGGGAGAGAGTAAACAGCCTTGTCTGACTCCAGTCCTTACTTGGAATGCATCTGTCAGCTGTCCTCCATGCACTACTTTGCACTGTAGTCCGTCGTATGAGTTCCGGATAATGTTGACAATCTTCTCAGAAACTCCGTAGTGTCGAAGAAGTTTCCATAATGTCCTCCTATCTACACTGTCTAATGCCTTTTCATAATCAATGAAGTTGATGTATAGTGATGAGTTCCACTCAACTGATTGTTCGACGATGATCCATAGTGTTGCAATTTGGTCTGTGCACGACCGATCCTTACGGAATCCAGCTTGTTGATCTCGAAGTTGGGCATCTACTGCATCCTTATTCAAGGAATACTGCTTGGTAGAAACGACATAATACAATCTCTTTCTCATTTTAAGTGAACGCATAAGCTGGTCGGTTTCTAAACTACTGACTGTTTGTAAATCATTAGTTAATTCACAACTGAACTTCCGTGGTTCACGAGAAGAGTATGAAGCTATAATTTATGCGTGATTAAGAGTGTTAAATGCATATGAAGGTTCAGTTATAAGACGAAAACCTTATTTATAATACTCCACTGCTTATCATGTTTCATAAAGCACGAACAGTCATTAAAGAAACTATAATTTGGTTTAAAGGATTTATTGCCAATTTTGTTAATTTTTTAGATCATTGTCATCATAGGAAGAAATCACTTACAAAACTAATATAAATCACAGTTTTCTTTGTTTTTAGTAGGTCATAGTATATCTTTAATTTATGTCAGTTTGTGACTTATTTATTTGAACAAATAAATATTGGTACAAAGGGGCATTGAATTTATATGCGCCACACAGGTCATTGATTTGTGTGTGGGCTGTGATACTGCAAGGGTGCCCAGACCAAAGCAGGTGTTTTTTCATGGGGCCACACCCCGAGCCTTTGATCTGGTCTAATCCTGACGTCAGGAGATGCAGTTCCATGGTAGCCGGTGACTAACAATTGGTTCATACGGCATTTGTCCCCTCAAGATGCTGGAGCCCATGTACAGCAATGGTATGGAATAAGGGTTTTCCAACTCCTTTAGGCGGATCCTCCATATCCACCAACCCGGTTAAAGCGCCGGACATTCACTTTCCGTCCTCGGTTTCGTAAATAACAGTAATACCACGAGAAGGCAGCGAGTAGGACTTCCCTGACAATCGATGTATACGCGTTGCCATGTGAGAGCATTTCGAGGAGAGCGGACTCTCACCCCCTCGGCCGTACTAGGGTATTTAGGGGCGTTTTGTGACTTAAGTGATCCTCGAATTTCAAAATATGAATGCTTAGGAAGGTGGATTGCCTGTTAAGTTCAGCAGTAAACAATAAATGATCTTAAGCTTATTTTATAGCTAAACATCATGAAAGAATTAATACTTACCCAACAAAAATGGACGATCCCAATAATTCACTTTCGGACTAAGGTTCACCTTGTTCAGGTGATCTACAAGTTTCATATACGTTGTATGAAAGGGAGCCAACAAGATTTCTTCATTACCAACCAGTGCTACACTACCAGGCGTAGGGGTGCCTGGGGTAGAAGTATTTGTACCCGAATTATTTCCAGGAATATTTGAAATAATCATAGATCCACTGATAGTGTTTGGAACAGGGGGCTGAATCAATATTGGACGGGATTGTATAGCTAAATGTAATGTGCACCGACGACAATAAGCCAAGACAGCACGACGACAGGCTGCAATAACCAAACAGTCTTCACAATGGTTAAGTTGGAGAGTGTTTTCAATCGGTCCCAAAACAATGGTCAGCTTGCGACATTTATCTAGTGTAACAGACCTACAAAAAGTATTTAAGGAGTTCTTGACGGAAGATACAACATACAGTCTAAATATTACTTAGTTATATAAATAAATCGAATACAATGTTGTCTATAACACTGAACAATATAATTGCGGCTGTCGACTGTCTGATCCAACCATTACTAAAAACAATATAATGGCCTCGTAAAAAGACTTGAGATGTTAATTACACAACAGCGTTCCCTCAAGATTAAGATGCAAACAGATATTAAGAGTAACTAATATAAAACAAGGCTTTATACAAACAACCGATAGTGAATTGATAGCATCTTTGTTACTAATTTACGAACGATATACATTTATGTACAACACGCTTTAAAATACTAAAATAAACGGAACTGGAAGCTAATTATATGCAAGTGTATGAATTTACTATGTTAGCAGTACTTTTATCGCCATTGGAAAAGACAAGATGTAAAGTAAAAAATCCAATGTCTTGAAAAGTCAGCTGAAAGGACTGGAGACAGCAGTAAACCTACCATACGAAAAAATATAAAAACACTTAATGGATGTTTTTAAAAGGACAACTATACATATAGTTTCACCAAAACTCTTTATTAAACTCGTCACTAATACAACATCAACAGCGGATACTAAAAACGGACTGTTCTACCATATACACTGTAATTTACTAATTCGTGTAGATATCGTAAGTTAATGAATGAACATAATTGTAATTCAACGATTTTGGAAAACAATAAATTCAAAGGGGTTGCATTGGCTTACAATCGTTGGAGAGTAGTCTGAACACTAATTAACCTCCTTAGGTATCAGAAACCGAATAAAATCACTAACCCATGTACAAATACCGTGGATCAAAACAGAATGTATAAGCACGTACTTAGTGATTTTCACTGATAATTACATAAACTGACGCACATACTGATACAATAAAAAATTGAGACCTATGAAATATACTTCTCGATTAGACTAACATAACTTTGGGTTTTGACTACATCTTTCTTGATAATATGCATTCATATATGGTAGTTGGTACCAGAAAAATATTATCATCAAAAACGTGAAACTACTGGAACATTTGTATCAGTAGTTTGTGTTAGATAGTTGAAAAGTTTCCAGGTATGTCTAGATACTGTATCTTATTTTATTCATTTAAACAAATAAACATCGGTACAAGAGGGCACCAAAATGTGTATGGGCCACACGAAGTAGTTTTTACTCAGTTTTTGTGTGGACTGGGATACTGCCCAGGTGACTAAACCGAAATGGGCGGTTTTCTTAAGGAGCCACTCAGCGAACCTTTGATCGGGAGGTCCAATCCACAAGATAGAGGAGTAACGTTAGATGTGGTCTCATGACAGCCATACGTTATTTGTACCCTCAGGACACTGGAGCTCATGTGGTCCTCCGTAACCACTAACTCGGTTCAAGCGCCAGATATTAACTTTTTGTCTTCTCGATGTCGCAAAAAATACCCTCACCGCGAGAAGGTAGTGAACAGGACTTCCATGAAAGTGAGAATTTCGAGAGGGATAGCGGACTCTCCCCACCCTTGGCCGTATCATGAGCATTTGGTGGCAGGTATTGTATCTGAGGTTTTCAGTCTTCTCATCGTTTATATTATGAACTGCATTTAAAGTCCCCACTGGTATGCACATCTGTAAAGGAGTGCCTTAAAACTGCCACTAGTTACAAGTTTTAGGTAAATTTGTCACAGTGGCTAAGTTTTATCAGAGACGCATGCTTCATCTTATTTAAAACTCGTCATTTTATGGTAGAAAATTTTGTAACGAACGGAAACTTCAAAGTACCTTGCTTACGATGCACAAAAGCCAGTGGAGAGTGATCGAATGCAATTTATAATATCAACTTGTTTGGCAGATCAATGGCTATCAGGAATTTGTAGCTAGGTGGATAGTCCATTAACAATCGCACAAAAAGTATTAGGTTTTAGTTTTAGAGTAAACAATGATTCTGGAATAAAGTTATGACCGGAACAAGAGACCCAAATAGGATAAAACACGAATTCCGGATTAAATTAGAAGTCCCAGTTTAAACTTTACTAGAATATCTAAGTAATGATCATCAATTTTTCGGAAACGAATTACATGAAAATTATCATGAGCATAGGAAAGAATAAAGTTAATTATGAATGAGAATGAGGTACTGGAATAGTTTGGTTTATGGTTATTTATTTATCAAACATTTCAGAGCGCTAGTATGCACTCTGTAATATCTGACATTGATAAACTAGAATCACCAAATATTAGTCGATAAATCTAGCGAAAAACCATGTATTAGGAAGCCGCAGTGGTAAATTTCTACATTTATTAAATAAAAATGTGGTAAGAAAAATATCATATTACATGACCAAAAGTGTTTATAGAAACCCACCACAAGGATATATTAACTTTGATAAACTAACCTCATCGGTGACAAGAGATATAAATAACTACAATGGGCACGATGTATTTTAAGAGTAGCACCATCAAGTGTAGCAGAACTCTGAAATCAAAATAAAATGATTTCAAGGAGAATTTTGATACTGAGCGATAAGTACTTGTGAATGTAGACAAACCAAGTCGTTACACGTGAAGAGAAATTCAAGAAGTTTTAGATATAACTTAAGCACTCCCAGCTGATAATTAAAATATATCGAGAATAGTGACACAAACCTTTCTAGTTCGTATTTTTTATAGGTTCAAAAGATCTTATGACTCCGCATCTATATTGTTATGATTGCTTACTTAATTCTATCAGTTTATTTCATATTTTTTTCTGATTTTACTTATTTTTATGTGCTGTTGTAAAATGCAAAATTAAACTGATGTAGATTTGTAGCATTATGTCACTCATTACTCCCGTCATATTTAAACGACCTTAATAAAAAATAAATTATATGTATTTGGCAGCCTTCAAAATAAATTCCATTTCAAATGTGACGACAACCAGTCTGCATACAACACGAGTCAAAAGTCTGGAGTTAGTTAGACAACAAATCTGCTCTTACTAACTAGTAGAATCCGTTACATTAAGTGGTATGAATTTAAAACAAATTAGATTTTCTGGTGAGTTGTAAATACAACTGCTGGATCACCATCTCCATTTGTTAAAGTAATATCGACAGAGAATTCTTAATATCAAACGGTTACACACAGAATCCATAATACAACAGACACCAGAGAAGCATTTTTATTGATCGATAGAAAAGGTTACTATTTTGGAAATTGAATCCAACAATTTTCCAAAATATTCTTATGGTACTTTAACATGGTAGCAGTAAAATTGCTCAATAATAACTAAACTCTCTCATTCTCTATAAAAAAACTGTACGGATCAATGCAAAAAGTAAACAATTTAAGGTTAAAATAAACTTACGCGAGCAATAATTTGGCGAGAAATCATCGACATGACAACCAGTTTGTTTCTAGAATATCCAATTAAAAACGTGTATGAAAAATTGACTGAAGAAATGTCACTTAACAAGATTTTTAACAACTTAGTGACGACTTAGTATGTGTGAAAAACGATGCACTATAAATATGTAAGTTGGTGCATAGGTGGAATGTTTTTTAAATCACCCTATCGGGGTAAAAACTGAATACGATGATGGTGGACCGCAAAGTGCCTATATCAGGCTGCAGTTATCAATAGAAAAAGCTCCAAAGTATACATTTTTCGTATACTTAATGAAGCACCACACAATACACATGATTTCAAACAACTGGAAACCGTTTTCTAAACAGTGAGATATGAATTCTCCATAAGCTTACCCACTGTGACCTCCAGTTCGTGGAACTTGGTGTGCGTTTGTCGCAATCTTCTGACGCTTTATGATATCATTCTGTGGCTGTTGCTGAGTATTGTTCAAACCAGACTCATTGTCCAAGACAACCTGATGAGGAAGACGCCACTGTAAACGTCGACCATTTCGAATACAGTTTTCAACCGAAAACGGGTTTTGTGTTAACCATGAACGAATCCAAGAAAGAAGGCCACGTAAATGGAAAGCATGTGTAACCTACAAAAGGTTTTATATAGTTTGAAGAAAATGAGGTGACTGGGAATAACCAAAATGAGGAAGTGACTGATAAAGTACAGTTATATATTGTAAATAACTATCTTAGATTATGGTACGATATAGACAGCTGTGATTCATTTTAATTTGGAAAATATTAGTAAAGCTACGATTCACCACGAAGCGATTGACATCGATCTCCAAATAAGGACTAGAGGTAACCGCATCAAACATCCGGTAACACCATCTAAATGGAGCTGAAATTTTCGCGAAAAAAAACTATTACGAATACTACCACAAATAACAACAATTTAGGAACCGTGTAATAATAAAGCCTTAAACGAATATTTTTCGTCAATATTGCCTATACAAGACATATTGGTGGGATATGAACAGCATGCGCCTCTATATTAACAAGTAAATAAACACAATATGACGACAAAAGTAAATTTTTGTGGGCTTTTGTTGCTTTTAGAATGATAAACAAATAACAAGGAAATACCTTAGAATAACCAGTTGCTGGAAGAATTGTTGGTATACGGACAAGTTCTGAAAATGAATTAAGCGTCCTGAAATAAAATAAGGTTAAAAGTACATAAAAGTAGCCGCACCTTCCTTCATCAGCTGATCCTTCCAAAACAAGATCCAAAGCTTCGACAGCAGCTTCAGACAATGTTGCATCCATACTATTTCCACCTTGGTTATCTGAATATAAAGTACAAAACGGTAAGTAATGTGCACACATAGTACGTGTTTTGAACCAAGAACTCATTTTGCAGCCGGTAGTAATCTATTAATGTGCCATGAGAAATAATGAAAAACCAAAACAAGTAATAAAGCAAACCAGAAAAACAAGGATTCGAGAACGCAAACAGGAGACTGGATGTGATTTCTAAACGTGACTAGATAACAGTCAAATCTACATCAATTATTAAGACAATATATATAGCATTATATCTGGGGAAATATGGTAAGAGACAACTAAGATTTTTTGCTGTAAACAGTAAATACTTAGACATGAGTGTAAATGAGAATCCGTTTTAATTCAACACACTGAGTACATTTATATTGTTATTAATTCACACGTTTTCTATACACTCTGAACGTTCATCTTGCGTTGATTATTTCTGGTTAACACGAAGTTAGCACTCAGCAACTATGCGGTACTGTTATGTTACGACATACATTACTCAGTAATCAATTAATTGACGAATTTATTGTTAATACAATCATTAGAATACTTATTAATTGAATGTAATTATTTCTGGTAGTGACAGCTGCTCACAGAGACTAATTATTGGAGCATGCCCCGAATGACCAGAAATTAAAGACAAGTTAACTAGACACAAAAAGTTTCGTGATAAAATGACATGCTTATACACAGAATATGAACATAAAATAAACGTAAATTAACAGACGATTGAGAAGCGTTAGCTTGTAGGCTACTCACTTTCAAATCAATTAGAACCTGACTGTTATCATGTCAACATAAACATAAGCAACAAATAAAAATTACCGGGTTCAACAAGGAGATCAAGCATTTCATTCAAATTTTCACTGATAAATTGAAAATGATATTGCTCATCTAGGTTCTGAAAACTGAAAGTCAAATTCATACAATTACGCGACATAGTCTGATAGGAGTTGAACGACCTGAATCCAAATCGGATGAACGACTGTAACTACCAGGCCACCTAGCAGAGTAAATAATAAGATCCCAGAAAACTAACTCAGCATTGGCTGACACTGCTGAGGCTCGCAGTGATATCTTGTTTATTTGTTGTATGTAAAGAAAGAGTACAAATGTGAACAAATTAACAGATTGTGAAGTACGAATCCTCTCTATAAATTATGTAGATCTGAAAACGTGTAACTACCGGCATCTGCTGAATTTGCTGCAGTAAATATCCTTTCATCAACATCCTTAAGCTTATCATATTGTGTCGCCGACATAGTTAAGCATGTGTGAAAGAGGCTAAATAGCTGTATAGGTTAAAATCAAACATACACCCAAGCCAAATCCTCAGTTAGCTGAAGCTTATTACATGCTACATGTTTCCAAACAGAATAACTATTGAGTAATGTAAATCGACCTATCGAAAATTAAGATGATCTACCTTAATTTTGATCCAGTTTTACTTTTGTTTTTTGCATAAGTAACAAGCTTTTTGATGTTCTAAAACACATAACAAAGCTTAAATGTTTTAGGGAAACGTTCTTACATGAACAGCAAGTCTTGGATGAGGATGAACTTGGAAGATACCGTATGCGAACGGTTCTGCCCTGGGCCAAAGGCTCAGAGTTACATGACTAGCCTTGCCCATCACACTGAGTTTACATTATTCCACTTCAAGACACCGCAAACTTTAGGAATGTGCCATAACCTTCAGACGACCTTTCAAGTAAGACAAACATAAAAAGATTATTCAAATGCTTGTCGATAGAAACAGAAGACGCCTAGCTTATTGTGATTTCATGAGAATGGAGTTATGTTCCACCCATTTGGAATGTTTTTATTAAATTTATCGCATGAGAGTTTCGTCCATTCAGTGACTAAAAGACTAGTCGTCAGCAGTAGGGACGGATGGTTAGGAGATCCATATTCGTCTTTGAAATTTGTAGTACTGTAAAGACCCAACTTTTCTGTGAACGTATCAACAAAAGGTGACATTAGTGCGTGTTCTGGTACAGAATCCCAATAATTTATTAATCAATGGGAAAGATGAAACCCTAGAGATGGAAGATTTGATCTCCGTTTTGAAACTTTCTTAAAATGTCCCCTTGGATGATCAGTCCCACATTAAGAAAAGAGATAAGACATGTTAACGACAAATTCATCTTTCAGTATACGTTCAGTATACCAATATGGCATCACCCCTTAGGCTGTGGTAGGATAACGGAATTAGGTTGAGTCATCTCAGTCGGTCTTCATAATAACCCGCTGCCTGAACTCTATTCTAAATGCGGCCTCACACACGTCGTATAGAATACTCTGAAAATTTCTTCATCCGAGTGACAAAATGACTTACAAATAACTCATCTGAACCCAGGGCATTTAGAAGAGTCGGTCTCACACTTGCTCGTAGTTTTTAAGTCGTCAGAGCTCTCATAATCCTCACATTAATATCAGCAGGACCACTAAGACACATCTAGTTTGGCATACTGAAGTAATATTGAGATAACTCCTTTTTCGATATACACGGTATTCGTCGATGGAACGCCATTGCTGCAATCGATATTTGGTCTTTTACCATGGTTAGCAAAAAAGCGCATCACTAAAATAATCTAATAAGGTTTCAGGTCTCTCGACTTTCTTCACTCTAAATGTCAACGGACTTTGAGCATCAAAAGTGGCGGGGTCCCATCCCTTAATTGGTGTCGTCTCGTTGTACATGGGAACAACCATTCCGGTTTATTTTCAGAATCCCTAACCAGTTGTTTTTCTATACAAGAGTCTGGTCTTCACAATCGACCCTAGTCCCTAGTCTTACGATAAGTTGGTCCGTACTGTTTGGAGCCTACAGAACTATACATATTCCAATACAATATCCTACATTCAAAAACTCTTTTAACCCCTGTAATCAACTATGTTGGGTAGTTATTCCGTCTTCGTGGTGTTAAGCGCGGTATAAATAGGGAGTGTAAGAAAACCAGTTGTACACTTAAATATAGATCATGATTCCTCAATTGCTGAGCTCGTATTGATCGACCAGTCTGTTGTAGCAGCAGTGTGAAGAAATTGGACACATCAAGTCAGTTTGTAAAAATATTGTTCATTTCGATGAGATTAGTACCAAACTCTGTGATCCGGACCCTAATATTTCGGGTGATTCTAATGGTCATATACTTTTCTCATTTACAATTTCAATTAATCCACTTTATATTCAAAAGCGATAACATCTGTTCAGTGGTGCATTTCACTGGTATATTGTTGACACTAGCAGTATCAAATCCACAATTTCAGTTGGAAATTTAAAGTCAATAAATTTCGATACCATAATCAAGCCTACTTCTACTTCGAGTATTACAGGCCATAAACTTCGTATTTTCGAGTGTTGTAATTTGTTGATTAGAGACGATAAATCTTCAATCCAAGCTTATGAATTACTTACCACTTATTGTGAACAATATATACTACATTTAGAAAATTTAAGAAGGATTCCGGGACAGCTGACTGACCACCAAAGACGGATAACTTGCTAATTACGATTCGAAGTCAGAAAAATTTCGCATGAAACCAGAGGTCTCTCATACGTTGAGTTTGTCAACATCTCGAAAAAGGGCTGTATTATGCCCTCGTACTTCTGTTTCTCCAGTGGTCTAGTACTTCTTTGGCTGGTGTTCTCCGTGTTGCATTTAAGGATCTTGCTTTTTCCCTTTTGCATGTTGAGGTCTACTGATGCGGAGGCTGCTGCTACATTGTTTTTCTTGACCAAGGTTTGATTTGATAATTTCGAATAAACTGAGCGTTGAGTAGATTATTATAAACAAATATATTATTTCACTTGATATTGTTTTACTTGAATTTTCCCATTGATGTTTTTGGACTGAAATTGATCAGTCTCTTATTGGCATATGTGCATACTGTGCGTATGCCTCGATATTGCCTAAATTTACAAGCATTATAAGCAAAGATGGATAGTGGCTAGCAGTGGATTTAGGCAATATCGAGGCATACGCACAGTATGCACATATGCCAATAAGAGACTGATCAATTTCAGTCCAAAAACATCAATGGGAAAATTCAAGTAAAACAATATCAAGTGAATTCAACTTCAACCCATTGCACAAGCAAGTGGCTATCAGGAGTCAGTAGCTTAGTGGATAACGCGATGGCGTTTGAAACGAACGGTACTGAGTTCGAGTCCCAGAGTGAACATCAACTCTGAGATGCAGGTACATCCAGCTGACGAGTCCCAAACAGGACGCAACGCCTGTCCTGGATTCCACTGCTAGCCACTATCCATCTTTGCTTATAAATATATTATTTGTTTATAAAATGGGTTAGTTAATCTAGTTTATCCAATCTATCAATTCAGTATTTCTCCTTTAATCTGTACCCCTAAATTAATAATAATAAAACATCATATCTAAATACATATTCATTTCCTCAGCTTTGACTCAGTCTTTTTGTATGGATAAATAATAGAGTAGCACCAGACTGCTCGAACCTAAATAAATAGAGTTCACTTTATAAAATTCAACTGTTTTAATTGCTGAAAAACAGTTCAACCGTAGATCCTGATGAAAAAATAAAAAATCCCAATTCGTAAATAAAGACAGCTACTAAACGAAATCTAAACAAAGTTATATGTAGTCTGTTTTAGCATAAACTGAATAATGAGTTACATTCCCCAATAGGTTTACAAACTTCAGACACTACTACCTGACTTTATGACTATACATACATGAACAATTAACGAGATCGAGTTGCTTTCTGTTCGTTACAATGGAATTAAAAGTAACAACATTTTCATTACCTTAATTCCTAGAACTAAGTGATAATAACATTTTGGTTTATGCCCGTATTAAGTGTTTCACAACAAAAGTTAACAATGCCATGCTGAATGAAATTTTATCTAAAATAATTAAAAAGTGAAAATTCAAAATTTTTCAGAAATGAGATGAAAATAACTGCTTCCGAGCACTGCTAAGTTGTATCTCCTCATTTTCGTAACTATTTGACTGGTCTTCCTGGTCTCCCACATTGTTCGGATATTCCATGTACCTATATTAATGGTTTCTCTGGATATTAGAAGGGTCATCGGCCTCGTGACTTCCGAAGAATCCGAGCTTTCATCATGAGGTGTCATAATTCTTCCTTCAACCTGGAGGGGAGAGTTTAGATTATTTAATCTGGTTAGCGCTTTTTAACAACGTTGTTTTCTACGGGATGAGGTTGCCGACCCCATGTCCAACCCTCCTCCTTCACCTGGTCTTGGGACATGCAGCAACACTAGAAGAGCTACGGGAAGAATCCTGAAAAGGCATGGCTCATAATAGTTAAGATACTGGATTCCGGGAATCGTATTGACCGCTCTTAATTATTCTTTCGTGAATACTATATAGTTTTGAGAGCAGTAAACTCACAATATTGATTTAATACCAATTCGACCCAAATTGGGGTCTAATCATATCGCTTCAATATACTACAATGGAAACTCTAGTGTAATAATCTGGGAATGGTAGTTATCTAATTTGACTCGTTTAACTAAACATACTCAAGTCAAAGGCATATTTGAAAACAGTTATTATGTGGAGAGACACAAAGCACGTAACGAATATACAGACATCTTTCGAAAGTGTTCCTGATTTAATGCGTTAAGAATCAAGCAAATTGGTCGAACGAATTCTAAGTGTTTACTTGTATGATTTACATGTACGTCAGGTTTGTTACTTAACAACCAGATATATTTAAATATCACATGTTGAATGCATGTGTTAAGACGAATAAATTTTGGACTGATAAAAGTCATAAACATTTATGTATTAATAAAAAGCTTAAGTCGTATGATTTCCAATTACATAAACGATCAGCCGACTGAAATCCGGAACTTTATCACCTACTACTAATTCTGATCAGTTATTCAGTCACAGATACTATAAAAACAAGCTTTCTTCCCAAACATCAGCGCAGCTAGAGTGAATGTTGACAAGATGAGAAATACAGAAGGGGAAGAAAAATGATATTCAATGAGATACTGTTTAAAAAGAATGAGAGGAGGAAAGTTGGGAATTACAGTACGGTAGATAGAGAGTGACCGCAACTGCACTTCTGTAACCGATTATGAAACATATCATACAGTTTCCAATCACTGATTATAGGTAAACTATGGTATTCGAACAGAAAGCCTGCAACAACTGAAGTGTTTCGATTTAATTGTCAATCACATGATGGAATGATGCCACGTCATGGTTTGGTCACCCGAAACTATCTAATCAGCTCCAACATTATCCGATGTAACCAGGAGTCGTAGTTTGTTGTAAAACATGGGTAAATCGTATCCAACCAGTGAAAGCATATGGAGGAATATATAAATACCAGTTAAATGAAAGACGTAGGAATGAAGAGAACTTCAAATCACCACTTGATAACTGCTAAGTTCACGCTGAAAACGCATTAAAAATCGAACAAGTAACACTATAAAGTAAATACAACATACGTTCGAGATGCTTAAAACTCCAGTGAATTCATGATCGCTCCTAGCAACAAGTTTCAAGTCTTACAAAACCTATTAGAAGACGAAACGATTTTGAAAAACAAATGGAAACGGACTAAAAATATTCAACAGCCCAGGAAGTGCAGGGCCACAAGAAGAATTAG